TATATACACACACACAATTTATTAAACACATATGTGTGTTTAATAAATTCTTACTTAAGAAGCATCTCCATCTCTCAGTCATCGTGTTCTCTTTTCTTTATCGAAACTGATAGAGAAGGACAGTTTAAACTTTAAACCTGGTTATGGTAATATGTTAAAAGTGAATCAAATTATTTGGAATGTACAAATATAAACCAGCTGTTTAAGGTTTAAGTAGATAAATGCATCTAGCAGGAGAYAGAATCTCAAAAGTTACCATAATTGTCTGAACGTTTCTGCAAYAACTCACATTGATCCACATCATAGACAGATAGCAGAAACGAATAAAAAAAACAAATGTAGAGCTGTTGCCTCTCAACAAGATCACAGGATGGAACCTCAGCTGGGGACCCTTCTGGATAGATTTAGCATGTTACTTCAGACCAAAAACATGACTTTTAAGCTAATTGCTAAATCTAAACTGTCCCTAGCTGTGATGGACAGAGTATTGTTTTTTTATTTTTTTGTCTCTATGTGTCCCTGTGATGGACTTGTGACCTGTCCAGAGTGTTTCCCTCCCCCCGCACCGACTGGTGGTCATGGGCACCAGTGACCCTGAAAGGAAGAAGCAAGTGAAGATATTGGATGGACGGATCGATGGATGAGTTCATAGATGCTGAGTCATTTTTAAACACATTCTCAGAGTTTTACACAAAACCTACCTACATTTAAAATTTTAGCATWTAAAGAAGCAAGTAATAATGCTACTTTCATTGTTCTTTTTTCCCCCTGAAACACCACACCTGCCAGTGTTGAGCAATCTTCAAGTCTTCACCACAGTGGTGACCAGCACGTATCTTTAACAACACTGGGTTTAAAAAAAAAAACTCATCAGTTTCTGTAAAACAGTTCTGCTTACTGAATTGTTGTTGTTGCACTGCAGAAGTGAAGCCAGGAGTAAGAATAAAGCGTAAAATTATTTTGGGAGTCATGCAGCAAAGCTGGTGCTGTGAAAGCACACAACCGACCATGCTTTGGATGCACGCTCCAACTCTGCACTAATGATCAAATGAACTCAGAGGAGCCGCTGGCTGCTATAAATTGTGTTGTAAGGAAATTAAAAAGGGAATCAGAAGCTGCAGTGCAGGTTGGAAGCTTCCCTGTGGGAATATATCTTGGTTATCATGAGTGGCAAATATGTTCTTCGTCTTATTAGCAGCCAAACGTCTCATTAAAATCCCACTCATAGTGAAAACGGGACGTAATGAGCTGCTGTAAAGTCGGTCTGTTCTACATCACTGTCAGCACAGTTATTGCCTCGTTTTATCACAGCTCACAGCCCAACCAAACAACACAATTCAAGTTTGCTTACTACATGTGATTCCTGTCATCATCATCATCATCATCATCGTCTGAAGCTAAGGTCATGCTGAGGGCGTGTACAAGACAAATAACGTCCTCCCGTTTTTATAAATAAATAATATCTATTTTTTTCTGCTATTGACAAAATCTCATCCTATTCTGGAGAATAATTCAGAGCAGGATGTGTGAATGATAAATATTAATAATCCAGGGGGCCAGTGTTTTGAGAGCCGTTCATCTGGCAGAAAATTGAGGAGCAGAAAAACCTAAACATGCTTCAGCAGAAGCCAAAGAGACTGTGGGAAAATACTGGACTGGATAAATTCAGGAAGAGTGATTATTCTGTATGAGTGAACACCCATGAGCTAATCTGACCTCTGAATGATCATTTTTATTTGACTCCTGTTGATTTGGTCTTGAAAGTTAGGAAAAATGTTAAAAATAAAGCAGAAAAAGCTTTCATTATTGTAATTTTGGAAATTTAACCCTTAAATTTACGACTGTTTTCACAACCGTGTCAGAGAGGTACAAAAGCTGCCATAAAAATCACAGTAAAATCAACAATTTTTACTTTTATTCCAATTGTCTATTTCATAATTTTTAAAATTGTACTTTTTTAAATGCATGTTGATCTATTTTGATTATTAAATATTTATTAAAAAGAAACAAAAAAACATTTCACATATAATATACTGTAGCTATGTAGGGGTCACATCGAGTGAAGAAACAAGATTTACTGCCTCAAAGCAGGTCTCGGAAAGGCCTGGCAGAAGGCAGGAACACTGAACTCTATTTGGGCCATGACAGTCATTCCAAGAGAACTCCTCAGTTCTCTTAATCAGATAATGAACAGAAACAATCTTTTCTGTTCGTGATTCATTTGTTGTTTAACTAAGAATGTTTATGCATTTGTTAATCATGATAATGACTGTCACAAGAAAGTAGAATCACTTCTACTCTTTTATCGTGCCTAAAAGATTAATTAATGATATAAAAAGCACAGAGAAAATCATCACCATGTTTTCATTGTGTTTTTATATAAATCACTGTTTTTATTTTACTGGAAACATCAGTAATATAATTTTGAGTTTTTCTTGAGAAAATCTTTCATTTATCTGGACCAACAAAAGTTTCAGTCTGATTATTTAAACAGAAATGTTAATTAATCATCATAAATGTTTTACAGTGATTTCTCTTGGAGTCTATCAGAAAGAAAGCTAAAGAAGAGGTTATCATATTCTGTTAAAAAACAACCACAGAATTTCAATCTTGACTGGCGCCGCTGGCAAGTCTTATCATTTCTTCTTTTTCTGACATTCTTAATGCCTGAGGGCGGAACCAAATTCGTCCGCTTCTATTACTAACACGGACGACTTTGAGAGACGGGAACACTTCTTCCTGGAAAAAAAACGGGAAGAAAGGCTGAGTTCTCTTCGGAGAAACCAGCTCGGCCCGAATATTTTGCCCATAAGCCAAATAAGGGAATATACGGCCAAGGCAGGGGCAAGCCGCCGCTGCCTGCCTGCACTGAGACTACAAGTCTCTAAGTGCTTTTCAACTCCAGAAGTGAGAATTTTATTTTGAAAGGACGAACCGGATGCATCAGCTTGAATCTTTCTAGCGAAGTTCGAAGCAGACGAAAGTTGCCTAAATAACGCTTTTTCGCCAAGGAACAGTGAGCGGGCCGAGCGAAACAATCCCTGACTGGTCGGAGGTGAGGCAGTATTTGCCCGGAGTGTGGTAAAGAAGCCAGAAACAGGTAAATGCTGTCGTGTTCCGGGTGACGTGCCATGTGGAGATCTGAGCGCAGAGGGGACGTGCTGGTCCGGTTGATACGCTTGACAAAATAAGAGCAGAAACACTAACCTTATTTTCCTCCTTTCCTTTGTCTTTATTTGCCAAACTTAAGTTAAAAGTGGCAGTAAAATTGTTTGGTTGTTAACATCAGAACTGACGTTTTACTGTTCTATATAAGTAATCTGAGTTTAATGTGAATTAAAATTCGGACGCGAGTTTTACCGCATTTAGCTCTGAGGCTTGTTATAGGAAAATCCACAATCAGGTGCAACTTATGATCTGTTCAATTTGTGTAAATAAATGATTGCATAATCTTTTATGAATCAACTTGAACTCGTCTGACGTTCCCTTATTGTGTCACTTTTCACTTTGCACATTCCAAAATATTAAAGTAATGAGAAATACCTTGGCAAAAACTTCTCTCATAACTAAGTTATGAGAAGTATGTAGGGAAGCTTATTTTAACATAAGTCTAGTTCCTACAGCTAAATAGAGACAAACAAACAAACAAACAAACAAACAAACAAACAAACAAACAAACAAACAAACAAACAAACAAACAAACAAACAAACAAACAAACAAACAANAACAAACAAACAAACAAACAAACAAACAAACAAACAAACAAACAAACAAACAAACAAACAAACAAACAAACAAACAAACAAACAAACAAACAAACAAGCTTAGTTTGAAAATTCATCATGGACCAAATAATTTGTTTCAGTTCAGCAACTTAACTGATTAAATTCTTGCTGCAAAAGGATGGTAAATAAAATGCAACAAGTACTGATACTGGAGCTAAACCCAAAGTATTTTTAAATTTATTTTAAGTTATTCTTCCAGTGAAAAGATGTGAATACATGTCCCAACACATTGTAAGTCTGATATGAAACTGATCAGATGGTATTGGGGTAGCACGTGGTCACACAAACATGCGTCAAGTGAAGGGTGGACTGCAGCAGTTTCATGCAGCCTATTTTCATCCAGTCCTTCCCAGTCCTACCCGGACTGGGGAGGACGTGGCCCACATGGCCCAGGCGGGCTACATGCTCATGAGGATGCAGCCCATGAGACACAGCATTTGTGTTTCCTGAGTGGTGAAAGTCAAACAGAAGATGGTCTGAGTGAGTTGTTTTAYCTGTAAACTGAGGTTTCCATGTTCACCAAACAGTCCAGAAAAAAAGGCAGCTGGCTGTCAGTGGCATCCTCTCTGGTGAACTTGATGTCCACAGAACTGAAGTTTGKTGAAAGCTTCTACTAACACCTGGCTGCTTTCACAGCCAAAGATCTTCTATAAATAAATGTAATTTTTCTCTTCCACCAGTGCAGA